TTTCTTGGAAGTGCCAAAGAGTCTGACTCGTGGAAACTTTATTCATTTATTAGCAGCTGTTACCTGTGACTTCTTCCGCGTGACTAGGATATGTTTACTGACCCGGATAAAGGGTAGCTTATATATTTTCCATCCTATACAGTGCATATACAAAACATAGTCATTAAGACGCTATAAAGTAATAAACAAACAAACAAACTCTCACATTTCTAATACTAGTATGGATTCACTGACATTTACCCGTAATATCATACCAGTGGATTTTAAAAACAGGTAACTACTTTTTTATGGCATAACTACACCAGATTTTAAATTAAATCTTCAAGAACACATCTTTCTTTATATAGCACAGAGAGCAAACAAGCATGCAGCTCACCTGATGATAAGTGACCAACCGCCGCCCATAATCATCCACAACACCAGAGGTATTGTAACTGTGCTGCCGGCCTTTTGAAAGGAATATGCTTTTTGAAAATTTTACAATTTGGTTTAGTATTTTTTGCTTAAAACAAATAAACGGTTAGACAATAATTATGAATGTGTTTGTTTTGATTTTTATTAGTATTATTAAGAACCTCATATTATTTTTTCTTAAATATCTCCTATATGCAGACTTTATCAATTACAATTTGATCGTATTAATAAGAGATACAAATCTCTCTATATTATTTGTATGTTTATACACATTTTTTTTTATGCAACTTAGAATGACAAACAAGCTGACGGCCCACCTGATGGAAAGTGGCAACCGTCGCCTATAGACATGAGCAGTACCATGGACATAGCAGACTATACTATTTCACCCATGATACCCCCCATGCGTTGCCATTCCTGAGGACTCAGGTGTTATTCCTCTGTACCCAGTAAATTCACGCCATATCCCACCCTTCAAACCGAAACACAGTCATGCAAACACAACTGCTTCACGGTTGAAACACGAATGGGACAGAGGTAGCCATGCAATCGACTTTTGTACAAAGTCTCCCTCTGGTAAATTATATATTATATATTAACACATTCTTAATTGAATTGATTTCTAGATAATTTACATACATACATACAAACATAACTACAATATATTGATACAGCCATATATATAAGTTACTACTGTTATTCTTATAAAACTCAATTACGTGTTAAAACATTTTATGCTAAATATTTGTAGTTATTCACGCCACTGGCTTGTTATTTGTTAGAAGGGAGATATAAACTCAAGGGTTTAAGTTTGAAAAGTTAGACAGAAGTCTTCATAAAACAACAATAATAAAGTTTGGAGTTTGACAAACTGTTTTATAAGCTTTGCCAAACGAATAATAATTGTAAATCTAACTCCAGCATTTCATGGGATAAAAATAAAACAAATTCTATAATAAAACTTAATTAGTTGATAAAAAAAAAGTCATCCTCCGTGGCGCAGCGGTCAACACGCCTGCCTGCGACGTGGAGGCCCCGGGTTCGATCCCCGGCCAGGTTATGATGGAAAACGATCTTTTCCTGATTGGCCTGGGTCTTGGATGTTTATCTATATATGTATCTATTATAAATATAGTACCGTTGAGTTAGTATCCCATAACACAAGTCTCGAACTTACTTTGGGGCTAGCTCAATCTGTGTGATTTGTCCGTATATATTTATATTTATAAATTACTATATAAGAGCAAAGCAAAGTTTGCTGAGTCAGTTATATATATATATATATATGTTACAGAGACATTTATTAAACAGCTATTATACATAATGTATGGTCATTATACATAATGACTAAATTGTCTAGACAATGTGGTAAATTATTCGCTTCATTTGATTATTATTCATAATAGTAGATCACAGTCAAATCACAGAAAAGAAAAAAGTTTTTTTCTTTTAGACTATTCTATAACCGCGGCTTTACCTATTGGCCGGAATAAAAAGTAGTATATTTTATTCTATTACTCTTTTAAATATATAATACTTTCAAGAATGTATATAATAAAACTAATATATTACGTACAATTTGGCTTTCTGTTTAAATCCTTTGAAAGCGTATAAAGTGTATGTAAATTGACAGAGATCTCTTCCGGTCAACCCAATGCAGTTAGAAAGCATGTTACATGCATGGTACATTTTTTAAGTTATTATCATTTATATCGCCAATTTTAATAGATCAATTCCAGTGATCGGTAACTAGATCTTTGATTCCGTATATATGCCGTGTAAGATCGAGCAAGTTTTCACATAAGTCAAGCCACTCGATTTGCTTCGAGACTTTATTATTTGTGTTCCGGAACACTACATATTTTGTGTTTTATATTACATTAGTTAAATCTTTGTTTCGCTTTTAAATAAAGAACAGGTAGATCACGCTAATTTTGTTTAAACTATAATTAATTATCGTCGTTATATCACATATCTGCCCACTGCTAGAAATTGGCCTCCCCCAGACTACCACGAGGAACTCGCCTAAGCCACCTGTATCCACTAACTCTCTGCAAGGTATTTGAGATAGTCGCTACATCTAGTTTTGCCTATACGGGGTTGCCACTCTAGAATCTTTCTTCCCATTCCCCACCCTAGAATTCAGCTTGAACCCTTCGACTCATTGCAACAACAAGCTATGAGAATTGTCGATGATCCCAGACTAACAAGCAATATCGAACACTTAGGTATAGAACAATGTCTCAGGAGAAGTTTTGCCTCACTCTGCGTATTATACCGCTTGTACAACGGATTATACCTATAGGAATTGTTCAATATGATGCCCACGGCCACTTTCTACCATCGTATGGTTTGCCATCGACAGAGAGTTTAACCTCATCCTACAGCCTAGATGGTCGCGTACAACACGGTTTTAGAGATGTTTTCTCCCACAAACACTCATGGAATGAGCTCCCTGTCGAGGATTTCCCAAGAGACTACAGCATAGAGTTCTTCAAAAAAGGGGTAAAGAGGTTTCTTCAGGATCCGCAACGCACGCGTAATTCCCCTGGTATTGTAAGCGCTTATAGGCTACGATAATTGCTTACCATCAGTTAGGCCGTATGCTTGTTTGCTACCTCATTTGTTTAAAATAATAGTTATCGGTTTGTAAGCTATGTGACCAGCCTTATCCTTCGCTTATTTTGGTTCTTTTGCGGATATCCTCGTTTCAGATTCTATCTCGCAAAGAAACTTCAGGCACAGCCCTTATCATATTTATTTATTTATTTAATTCTTTATTATACACACTAGTTTTAAAAATAAGACAGAAGTAATCAAAAGTACAAAGGCGAGCTTAACTCAGATAGAGTTTTCTTTCAGCAAACCCAAAGTGGAAAGGAGCATCAATGTCAGCGGATACAGCAGTGTACAATATTGTGACAATTTTTAAACAGACAAAATTAATTTAATTACATTATATTTAATCGTACAAATACACATATACATATACATAAATACATACCTACATCTATGCATATACTTATACACACATACACATATATATACAATATACGTACATATATAGATAAATAAATATATGTCCATAGAGATAGATCATAGTACTCTATGCCGGGATTACATGGCTCGACAGTAAAATTAAGACATGAAAATATTACACAGAACGTACGATCGGCGACGTACACGTGACATTCTTAATGTTGCAGGCGTATATAAGCTACAGTGACCGTTTACCATCAAACGAGCTATATGCTTTTTTGCCAACTTCGCAATATAATACATATGATATTCACTTACAATTGTGTTCTAACAGTTACTGGCAAGCTTGGACAACTCGTATCTCGCTCGTGTAGCTTAGGTAGTTATTATATATATAAGCAATATCCAAGTTGTAATCTCAAATACCCATATAATATCGACTGTACCATATATTGTATGCACAAACACGTCGAGGAAGCAGTAAACACAGTCAACCAGCCTATATGTTCATGGAACGGCGGTGAAATACTGTAATATTCCTGCACGATTTCTTTGAATTGTAATGTGCTTGTTTTATTTAGACGATTGTGAGCCGAAATGATAATGTTAAACGGATTATTTTAAATGCATATATGAAACAATTTTGAAGAGAAAAAAAATTCTCATTTCGACTGATTTTTTATGCTCTTCTAACGCGATTACGTCGCCAGTTCGGAATAAATTTTAATATTTTTTATAGGACTAGAGTTTACTTGCGTTCTTTTTTAATATTGCAACGAGTGGCTGTGTGGTCCCGGCATAGAAAAGGCTACGTTTTTTTCCCGTGGGTGTCGTAAGAGGCGATTAAGGGTTTCCTCTTACTTACGACTTGATGAACGAACGATGGGCAGCAGCGTCTCTCTTAAAATATCTTTAGTTTAACTGTGATTGCCAATCCGCCTGCTAAACGTGGCAACTACTGGCAACACCTTCTAGAAAAGAGCATATTCCTTTTTAAAAGGCCGGTAGCACACCTGCAATGCCGTTTGCGTTGTGGGTGATCATGGGCGGCGGTAGTCACTTACTATCAGGTGAGCCGCATGCTCGTTTATCCCCTGTGTTGTAAAAAGAAATATATATATTGTTAGATATTAAGACTACTAAAAACAAGGAGTGGGGCAAGGAGTGGGGAGCCAAGCCTATAAAAACCGGGTAGTTCATAGCATTGGTCTTTTTCGTTCGCCAACTCTCGAGGAGCGCAGACGGTGTGTGTGACGTGTTTTGCTGTAATCGGTTTATTATTATTTTAATTACTTAAGATTGGTGATTTGTTCGATTTATTATTTAAATATCTTTATAAAATTGTTATAATTTTGTAATAATAAGTATTAAATCATTTGTGTTGCTACCGTCCTCTTTTTTTTTTTATTTTCCACTTCTGATGCTAAAATCAGAAGTGGGATAAAGAACTTAAATGCCCACTATAACTTTCGATCTGTTTAATATAAGATCAACAAAGCATCAATCTTCTTTTGTTTTTATATTTCTTGTATGTGCATGAACAATTGTTGTTGAACATTATCTGTGATAAGCGGAGTCAGTCGCGCAGCAAGACGCGTCGGCACGACCGTGATAGTAGATCGCGTGATAGGTCGCATAGTAGATCGCATGTTAGATCACGCCATAGGTCGACTTATAGATCACCTACTAGATCGCGAGATAGGATGCAAACATCACAGCCTAGGTTACGGAATAAACGTACTAACACGCCTCCTCGCCAACCCATAGTATCCCATAATTCGATGCAAGAAACATTACAAGCGATATTGACGCGATTAAATACATTAGAAAAAAATTACTCCACAAATAATCATAGTGATAATACTTGTCAACATAATCTCGAATTACCCACCATTTCCGATGTAACATTTAACTGTTCTACGCCAAGTAGGAATGTCACCGTAACTAAAGTACAGCAAAATAACGTATCGAATATTCCCATTCGTGTGACTACCCCACCTGGGGATCGCCAACTGGACACATCCCGGTCCGATATTATTATTAACAATGTTGATCAAGCTTTCCGCGAAGATAGGGTAGTAGATAGTACGCAAGCATTAGCAGACGCGATTAAATCTATTAGTTCACAACGGTCGCAACCCTATTTTGTGTCTAGTTTTGATCCCTCACTTCATAATATCGAGGTATGGTGTGCAGAGGTTGAACGCGCTAAGGATACTAACGGGTGGAGTGATTCGGAGTGTTTGTCACGTGTATCGAAATGCCTCAGGGGTGACGCGCGCACTTGGTTAGACGAGTGGGTAACTAATGAAAGGACATGGTCCAATTTTCTACAAGAATTTAAACCACTTTGTCCGCGTACACTTGACTATGCCAATATACTATTCGATATTATGAAAACAACTTCCGAAAAAATTTGTACTTATGCTGAATACGCTCGACGTAGCCTATTACGTTTACGTGTAGTAAAGGGACTAAGTGAGGAGCTCATGACACTAATAATCATACGCGGTATTAGTGACCCTCAAATCCGAGCCGCCGCAGCGAATGCTAATTTGACTTGCGACAACATAGTGTCGTTTCTTAATATTTACGTTAAACCTAGCAATAGTACGGCAACAAGAAATAATCTAGGAAAGCGCCCCTTACCTTTAAATCATATGAAAGGTCCCCTTAGGTGTTTTAACTGTGGTCAGTCTGGACATAAAAGGTTGAATTGCACGAAAAAGCCAAAGGACACTATTGTTTCTACCCACGCTATTGTTGATTCTTCTGAATCTACGCAGCGATCTGTCACTTCGGAATACAAAAGCACAAAATGTGACTTTTGTAAGAAACCGGGCCATCGCGAGGAAAATTGTTTCGCAAAAGAAAGATCGAATATGCGTAATAAACGAAACCTAAATTTATGCACTACCCTTTTATTAACGGATCCCTCTCGAAGCAAAGACGTAGTAACAGCGGTAATACAGGGTATTCCCGTTGACGCACCCATTGATAGTGGCGCCTTGAATATTTCGTTTATATCATCCGGGGTAGTAAAATATCTTTCATGTGAATTAAAACCTATTAATTGTGCGTTAAAGGGAATCAGTGCAACAGTAATTCATGCCAATTTTTATGTAACGTTGACTATCGAATTTGATGAAATTACTCTTAAAGCGGATTTTGTAGTCGTTCCAGAGTCATGCATCGCATTTCCTTTGATAATAGGTACGGATATACTTAATCGCGACGGTGTCACTTATGTTAGGTCTAAAGCTAAACAATATTTAACGCGTTCACCTATGACACAACAGCAAGTAAATACGGTAGTCCCCAATACAAAAGACCAAATCAATACACCTCTTCAAGGTGATGATCGCAATTTGCTCATGTTAGTGATTAATGACTTTTCAAATTATTTGATATCTGGTACAACTTCAACAACTGTTACTACAGGCAAAATGAGTATTGTCGTTAAGGATGACACTCCTATAGCTTATAGACCGTATAGATTACCACATCAAGAGAAGCTCAAAGTTCGTGAAATAGTACATGATTTAAAAGAAAAAGGTATCATTCACGATTCAAATTCAGAATATGTTAGCCCCATCCTTCTTGTGAAAAAGAAAGATGGCAGCGATCGAATGTGCGTTGACTTCCGAGCATTAAATCGAGTAACTGTTAGAGACCGTTATCCTATGCCTCTCATTGACGACCATATAGATCGATTAGGTAACTTTAAATATTTTTCGAGTTTAGATATGGCTACTGGCTTTCATCAAATCCAAATAGATGAGGAGTCTATACACCGAACGGCATTTGTCATTCCAGAGGGTCATTTTGAATATTTGAAAATGCCCTACGGATTGACTAACTCTCCGATTGTATACCAACGTATCATTAACGAAACCCTTCGCAAACATATTGAGGCTGGTAATGTGTTAGTTTACGTAGATGACGTCTTACTGATGAGTCACGCAGTCGAAGAAGGTATTAACCTGTTGAGAGACGTGTTAACGACTCTGACAAATGCGGGCTTTTCTATTAACTTACGGAAATGTACCTTTCTCTCGATGCAAGTAGAATACCTAGGGCGTATGGTGAGCCAAGGTCAGGTTAGGCCGAGCCCCAGTAAGGTGGAAGCACTGGTGAACGCACCGGCTCCCGCAAACGTTAAACAGGTTAGGCAGTTCTTAGGCTTGTCAGGTTATTTTAGACGTTACATAAAAAATTATGCAACCAAAACCGCTTGCATATCACGCCTAACTAAGAAAAATATTGACTTTTGTTGGACACCGGAGCAAGAACGTGCGCGTCAAGAAATCATAACTTGTCTAACCAGTGAACCCATATTAGCTATTTTTAATCCCTTAATTATCGCTATTCTCCAGTAGGCGATGAACCGAGACTACTTTGTTTTATACCAAAGGGGCATCGGTTAAGTTTGTTGAGAATATTTCATGACGGACACGAACATATAGGCGCGGACAAAACTCTAGATTTAATACTTAAACATTTTTGGTTCCCTGGATTACGACAATTTGTTAACAAATACGTTACGCATTGTTTAGTATGTTTATCCAAAAAACGTGTACCCAGGGCTCCACACCAGCTAATAACTTCATGGAAAAAGCCAGACACCCCTTTTGATACTTTGCACTTAGACGCTTTAGGACCATTGCCCGAGTCCAACGGTTATAGATTTGTGTTGCTAATAGTAGATGCTTTTACAAAGTTTTGTATGTTATATGCAATACATAGGCAAGACGCAGGCGAACTTGTACGTATACTCACTAATGCTATATCATTATTCGGTGTACCAAGATTATTAGTAAAAGACCGTGGGCGAATGTTTGAATCGTCCATTTTTACTAAGTTCATCTCCGAACTCGGTTGTTCAGTACACTATATAACACCTGAGATGCACCACTCTAACGGTCAGATAGAACGGTACGTGCGGACCGTACTTAACATGATTAGAATCGAAGCCAACCATAAGATGGCGTCATGGTCAGATCAGCTATGGAGGCTTCAACTCATCTTGAATATTACAAAACAAAAGACGACACAGACGTCAGCTCTGAACCTGCTTGTTAGCACCGAAGCAACGACGCCACTTATCCGTTTACTGGTACGAGACGTAGCAATGGAAGGATCTTTATGTAATAGGGAAGGTTGGCGCGCAATTCGAAGGGCGAGGGCCAACGAATTATTGGAGAAAAATCGGGAATGTCAAAATAATTACGTTAATCGAAATCGGTGTGCACCTCGTATTTTTAAAGTCAATGACTTAGTGTTTGTCATTAAATACTCGCAATCAACGGGTAAGTTGGACCCAGGAATGCGAGGACCGTACAAAGTCACCAGGATTTTGCCTAGTGGCCGCTATGAGTTGAAATTGTTGAGTGGGTCATACGGGAAGACTACACAAGCGGCAGCAGAATACATGGTTCAGTGGCACGGGGAATGGTGTCCCGAAACGTGCGCCCCATTTTTTGCAAGTAAGTTGACGGTTACTATTTTGTATGTACACGTTTGTATCTTAGGCAGTCACAAAATTACATCATACACACATATCAAGCTCGCCGTTCACTGACTAATACTAACCCATTAAAATAACCTCCCTGTTTCACTACACACATACACAGTGACTGGCTGAGTTATAAACATTGTGCTGGTTGGTAACCTGTTAGACTCATATGGTGTGACTTCTAAGTCAAATGTACACGGTACATTGGGATGTGCGATTCAGTGATGCCTCCATCCCGGACCGGTCAGAGCAAGCGATTCAGTGATGCCTCTGTCTGACTGGTGACGTAAAGCTTTACAATGGTGTGTAAAGATTTTACGGGTATCAGCAAGCGATTCAGTGATGCCTCTGCTGATGCAGGCACTGGGGACGCCCTTTGCCTGATTTGTTCACAGATGTAGCAACTCTGCCAGTTTGGACTTCGAACAGCCCAGAGAAGAGAAGAACCTACCACTATGTCCCCAAGTTGAGCTCTTTATAACCCAGATCTTTTATGATTGAAATATGAAAGTGAATTAATTTTCCTACCTTAAATAACGAGTGAAAGTTAGACGAATGAATGTGATAAAGACGCGAGCTTTTGTGTGTATGATTCATATATGTTTCAGATAACTCTGATGATAGTGATCCTATAGCAGGACCATCGGGATCACAAGGAAGCACCTGCACGCCACAGAACGTCTTAGAGGAAGACCTGTGTCTATCATCGAGCACGGACGAAGATGCTAGAGTCGAGGACGACTCTACGTCAGGATAGGCCGTGTTAGATATTAAGACTACTAAAAACAAGGAGTGGGGCAAGGAGTGGGGAGCCAAGCCTATAAAAACCGGGTAGTTCATAGCATTGGTCTTTTTCGTTCGCCAACTCTCGAGGAGCGCAGACGGTGTGTGTGACGTGTTTTGCTGTAATCGGTTTATTATTATTTTAATTACTTAAGATTGGTGATTTGTTCGATTTATTATTTAAATATCTTTATAAAATTGTTATAATTTTGTAATAATAAGTATTAAATCATTTGTGTTGCTACCGTCCTCTTTTTTTTTTTATTATTTTCCACTTCTGATGCTAAAAATATATATATATATACATGTATAAAGTTTATCTTATCTAAAAGGCTAAACACCTTAGTTCTCAGGAATGGCCATGCATGAGGGGTATCATGGACGACACAGTACACTCTATTATGTCCATGATTCTGTTCATTTCTATAAACGACGGTTACCACTTGCCATCAGGTGAGTCATCAGCTGATTTACCATTCTATTAGTATTTTATTTCAGTAGTATCACTACATAGTATAAAACAAAGTCGTTGTCGCTGTCTGTACGTCCCTATGTATGCTTAAATCTTTAAAACTACACAATGGACTTTGAAGCGGTTTTTAATATATAGAGTAATTTAAGAGGAAGGTTTATATGTATAATACATGCATAATATTGTAGAGAAACACTTATAAATTTAGAGGTTTCTAATATAATGGCGTAAATAAACACATTTTTTGCGTTTACATTGCAAGCGCTAGTTGAACCCCACGAGATAAATCGAAATAATGTACTACAGTATTGTACACCTTAAAAAGGTCAACAAAAATTCCGCGATGGTATATGTCTATCTCTTAAGGATAACCCACGATAACCATTTTTTATCCTTTTCATTTTACGGGAAAATATGGCTTATTTACGAAGTGATTTTAAGCAATACACCATTAATTTTGTTCCAATTAAGTACCTTAATTACAAAATCCATTTAATATAGATCCATATGGCCCTTTACAGCATGTAATTTAAATGATTATTTTCGAAGATATTACAGATTTAAAATGCAGGGACATAGCGGTGCGACATTGCACTCATGCAAAGCCGGGGCGGGTCGCTAGTCTTTCATAACGAAGGATGAACTTCTTTCTTCAACCAATTTCAAAAAGAAAGAGGTTCTCAATTCTGTTGTTTTTTGTTATGTTTGGTGTCTTATAATTCTGTTAGTTGTAAATCGATTAGCAAAGTTGTTTTTTTTTTTTTATCTGAAAGGACAATATACTTACAGATTGGTCTAATAAAAATTTTATCAATACCAATTCAGTGGTTTGGTTTTTAAACCAGCTGTTTCTGTCACAATTGAATGAATGAATGAATGAATGAGTATACATTATTTGTATTTATACAATATAGGAAATAAACAAGACAATTAATAGATACAATTGTATAAGTACAGTAAGGCGGTCTTATTGCTGAGAGTAATCTTTTCAAGACAACTTAGGGTAATGGACTAATTGTTGTACAAGTAGGTATTGTAAAATTAAGTTGTTTTTCAGTTTTTTTTTTTTGTGAAGTTTTATTTAATTTCTAATCACAGTCACGTAGACGAAGTTGCGGGTACAGTTGAATGGGTTTAATAAAACACATACAAGTACCTATTTGTGGAAACATACCGTAACTCTATTTATTAAACTTGTTTATCTCCTTTGTTAAAAATATATTATTTAACTTATTCTCGTTATAAACTCGCTTCAAAATATGCATTTATGTGTTGAAATTCAGCACATTCGTACAAAGAAAATCTTGTGCATGCTCCAACTCATCTAAATGCAAAACAACCACATACGATCCTTTGCAGTTATAATGAAATTAGAATACAGTCGTCCAGAGGCGAATTTACAAATGTTAAATGAGAAATTGTAGTTTTTGTCGATTTTCCAAGAAGTTTGTCCAGACTTTATAGTATTTATTCTAGCGAGTGATTATTTTAAACAAAATATTGTATTTTTTTTTTTACTTATTCTTGAGCTACACGATATTTTGTACATAAAAGAATGTTTATAAAAGAAGGTTCAAAAGGCGTACTTGATGCTAGTAGCATTCTCTACCCATCAACTCTTGGGATGAATAATGAATCACGAACGAAACGAAAATTCTTCCAGGCAGTTCTATCCCAGGCCATATCCTTGACCTCCCTATACGACATGACATCTAGTGTTTCTTTTTATCTGTCGCATGTAGTTATTCCTCGGTCTTCCTCTTCCTCTTTTGCCCTTTATTTTTCCTTCTACTATACTCTTTAAAAAATCATCATGTCGTATAAGGTAGCCCAGCATTTTGCCTCTTCTATTCTCTATAATCTGTATATAATATATCTATATCTCAAGTCGGTATAGAAAAAAAAATATAGCCTACTATTGGGCGGGACAGGTTATCAATACAAGAGCGTCATGACCACTCATTTACTAATATAGGTTAGGTAAATTTGTAACTAACAAGATGGGACTAAAAGGCCGGCAGCACACCTGCAATGCCGCTGGTGTTGTGGGTGATTATGGGCGGCGGTAGTCACTTACCATCAGGTGAGCCGCATGCTCGTTTGCCCCCTGTGTTGTAAAAAAAAAAAGACTTACGTTGTCTGAAAAAATAATAATTATTATTATTATTATAAAACAAACTGTTAAGATACATTCTAAATTTAAATATTCGTATTTTCAACGTAGTTTAAAAAGAAGTTGGTACTCCATTATATCTCTTTTTACGTTTGTTACGTCATAAGTCTAAAAGGATAAACTTACAAATTAGTTGTATAGAAAGTTAATTCTTGAATTCATCACGATTCACGATCACTGACCTGCTTTCATTCTCACCTATCATTTTACTGGTGTATCACCAGCATATACCGATAGTGCAAGCGGAGCTACCATTCTATTATCATCTATTAAAAAACGGAAAAGCCTGAAGCTTCCTATGTATTATTAGCTACAGAAGACTATTCCCGTACCAGATTACGTGTTTTCCTTAACTACAAAAATGATGTCTCATCAGAGAACAAATCTTGGCTTCTCGTGGATTTCGCCCACATAATTTTCAGTTCCCATAGGAATTCCATTGAATTTTTCTTAGTACCCACTCACCTAAGTTATTTAATGGAATTCGCGAAAAAATTTAAGCTTCTATTTCTATTTTTGGTTGCGTATTTTGGCAGTTAATCGCTGTTAAGAGTTTTATTAACACCCAAGGACCTCCTTTTGAGATTTTTTTCTTCTTAGTGTTAAATTATTTTGGAAAAAATGTACTTGCAGTTTACGATAATGTTTTTTTTTTATGTGACTTAGAATGGCAAACAAGCCCACCTGATGGAAAGTGGTAACCGTCGCCTATAGACATGAGTAGTCCCATGAACGTAACAGTACACACACATACTGTTTTGCCCATGATACCCCCCCCATGCGTTACCATTCCTGCGGATTCAGGTGTTATTCCTCTGTACCCTGTAAATTCACGCCATATCCCACCCTTCAAACCGAAACACAGCCATGCAAACACAACTGCTTCACGGTAGAAACACGAATGGGACAGAGGTACCCAAGCAATCGACTTTTGTAGAACAAAGTCTCCCTCTGGTAATGTATTCAAACAGCATTATATCTCCTAATGACTTCAAATGGAAGTACTTTAAAGGGAGGAGGAGGAGGTAGAATGGAAGGACTAAATGAAGTATTACAGGTGCTTAAAATGTAGACAGATAGATAGATATATAATGTATTTGCATTACAGCATACATATAACAACAGACATACACATACACAGAAAAAAAGAAATAAAAGAATATATATACAAAACATATAACAAAAGTAAAGTACATAAGAGAAGTAATATAATTTTTCCTTTCGTGCAGTGTACCACAGTAACAAAAAATGGTCCCAACTCAGTTCAAAATAGCAAAACACTGATGTTCTGTTATGGCCAAAAGCCAGCTACAAAATTTCTAGGCATAAAAAAATTAAAAATAATAAATAAACAAAATTAATTGTTTGTTTCCACTAAAACATTATTTTTTAAATATTTTAATCTAAATTAGGAAATCATCATAATATCAGCCTTTAACTGTCCACTGCTAAACATAAACCTCCCCCGTGGGGGGTTTTGCCAGCAAATGCCACGCTTAGCAATTATTTAAATTAGTAAATAACAGGTACCATTAGAAGAGGGTTAGTCAGAGGTCACTTTCCATCATATTCAAGCATTCATTTCCTTACTGTACTTACACAATTGTATCGTTATGTTTGTAAATTGTCTTGTTTATTTCCTATATTGTATAATGCAAATAAAGTATACTCATTCATTCATTCATTCATTCATTCAAGTGATAAATAAAAGATTACCAATATAATACCATACCATACCATTTAGGTATGTCAATTTTTTGTTTATTA